CTTAAAGCAATATTTTGAGGGGGAGAAAGGTGCTGTTTTGCCAGTGGACAAACCCATAGTTCTCTGTTGTGATTTTGGAGGTAAATGTCACTGTATTGATAACACATAATTAGTATTTGTATTAGCCCCATGTAACAATGGGCATGAAAATAAAAGGTTTTGGCTTCACAGTCAGTTTATTCGGTGGCTATTTTAGCTGTTTTGGTAGGCATTGTCATTTTATTTCAAAAGAGGAAACTTCTGGAGTTGAATCAGGATTTAATGTATTCAGTCAGTCTGAGTACTACTCCCCAGTTGTTTGGCTTTAAAATGAGCAGTGTCTACTCTTCTTAGTTCTGTTTTGGAATTACTAGGTTCATAAATAAAGATTAATTAGAAAAATAAATGGGATAAGCCAATTTACATAGTAGTACTGATTATTTTGACAAAATAGAAAGCTATGAAATAGGAGTGATTATATATTGCAGCATACTGCTTTACAAAATGTCATTGAATGGAAAAGGAAGCTGTGTATTTTTAGGTATCAGAGCTGAAATGACAGGGAACCTGTCTCAGCTTCAGCTGCTGTTACTGAAACATCTGCTTATGTCCTAAAACCCCTTAATGCCAGAAGATCTGAAACATTTGACAGCCCTTCCACATAAGGCCAACATATCTTTCACACTCTAGTTTTCTAAATAAAATTTTGTAAAATGACAGAAAAAACATAAGGAAGAGAAATGCATTTTTTTAAAAAACATACATATATACATGTCTGTATATTTTTTAAGGAAAATCAAACTTTTTTTTTTAAACATTCTCAGGTTTTTGCGTAGATATATCTGTGCTGGCTTTCTTAGTGTGTTTGGTAGAAATATGTTGATAGAATAATCATGATTACTTGTACACAAGATAACCACCCAGTCAAATATGCATGCATAGTAGCTCAGAGCAACCACTGCATTATGAGGTGACATCTTTAACATTCACAAGATGAAGTGACATGTTCATTTATACACACTGCAAAATTGTAATTCATTAAAAATGTCAGTGTCTTATGAATATTAATGTTCATTTATGACATGATATTTTTGTAACACAGGTCATTGAAATTTTTCAGTTCTGATAAGCTTTTCAGTCTAAAATAGCCAAGTAAAATATGTATTTGTTTTTTAAATAGAGCAAAATTGATCAAGAAAAGGAGTTTATACTTGATGAGCATATGGAGAAGATTAACAGGTATTCAGCAATACTACTTTTTTTCTTTTTTGGATAGAGAACATGAAGTTAAATCCAGAAACAGTATCAGCGTTCCACAGATAAGGTGATAGAAATTACATTCAAGTTAGTCATTTAAACTTTTTTGTCTCTAGGGGGCTTTATCTGAAGTGTATTAAATATTTTCAGTATCAGCGTTCCACAGATAAGGTGACAGAAATTACATTCAAGTTAGTCACTTAAACTTTTTTGTCTCTAGGGAGCTTTACCTGAAGTGTATTAAATATTTCGCTCATCCGTATATTAAATACTTGAGCACATTTGCCTGATATGTACACCATTATATTAAGCAACTACCCTACGGCACATTAAAACGAACATTTTCTATAAAAATTGGATGGGGATTTGTGAGAGTAATTTCTCAGTTGGACAGGAAATGTTACATAGCACATTTACACTCACTGGTACAAGGCCATTTCTATGACTGTTTGCAACTTCTGTGTATCAGGAAGGGAAGGAGAAATAAGTGAGAGTGATAAGTGAGATCATGAACCTCTTGGAATGGGTCCAGAGGAGGGCCACAAAGATGCAACATGGCTGGCAATGTGCACTTGCAGCCCAGAAGGCCAACCGTATCCTAAGCTGTATCAAAAGAAGTGTGGCCAGCGGGTCAAGGGTGGTGATTCTGCCCCTCTACTCCACTCTTGTGATCAGAAGGCTGGAGCACCTCTCCTATGAGGACAGGCTGAGAGAGTCGGGGTTGTTCAGCCTGGAGAAGACAAGGCTCCGGGGAGACCTTACAGGGGCCTTCCAGTGTCTGAAGGGGGCCTACAGGAAAGATGGGGAGGCACTCTCATCAGGGATTGTTGTGATAGGATGAGGGGTGACGGCTTCAAACTGGACGAGGGGAGATTTAGAGTAGATATCAGGAAGAAATTTTTCACTGAGAGGGTGGTAAGACACTGAGACAGGTTGCCCAGAGAAGTTGTGGATGCCCCATCCCTGGAAGTGTTCAAGGCCAGGTTGGATGGGGCTTTGAGTACCCAGGTCAGTGGGAGGCATCCCTGTGCATGGCAGGGGGGTTGGAATAGATGATCTTTAAGGTCCCTTCCAACCCAAACCACTCTATGATTCTATAAGCAGCAGCTAAAACTCTTGAAGAAGGATGGCAGTAACTAAGTATAGAGATGAAAGATGTTGACACCGAATCAATAGAATGGAGCTGACAGCTAAAGATTTGATGTGTTATAAAAACACGGATAAGACTGATAGTAGTAATTAAAGTTTCTGGTTAAATATCAGAGTTTGCAAGTGAGGTTTATTGAAACACTAGAGATTTCTGAAGGAAGAGGAGATGCCTGTCAACTGAGTTACTAAAACTGAACAACAGGGAACACATTGCTAAGAAAAGCCAAATCAGCTGGTTATATTCCGTTTCTAATTTCTGTGTTATTAGCACTTTACAGGGAAGAGGAAGGCTGAAGTAGTTAATTCATTTATTAACTTTTTTTTTCTTTTAGTCTTTTTTCAGCAAATAGTATGGAAGAAATTGTTAAAAAATTAAAACAAGATGGTTCTCCTTTTGCCATTAAGCAGCTAGAGGTAATGTCTTCTATGTTATTTTTATTAGAAATTTAAGTCTGGTTCTGTACTTTCTTATTATGGGGCAGACTTTAGTCACGTTGTTAGCATAACTAATACTATGTAACACCAGTAGGACATTGGACTGAGATCCTCAGGTTCTCACATACAGTCTTGCGGGATTGTCAGTAGTTCTACTCAGATAAGAATATTCCTCTGTAAAACTACACAATGTGACTGCCATCATATGTTGCATAAAATTGTAAGCTAGTAAAAAATCCGGACTCCCTTTCCCTTTTCCCCTCCCCACGATCAGGGGGTTGTTGGTGACAAAGGTTCCTTTTATAGCTTCTTATTTATTGCCAAGGGTTGGAATAAAACAGTGCCAGAACAATGTTGTTCTTTTTGTTCTATTCCAGATATCTCATTTGGGAAAACAGCAAGCAATTTGTTATCACAAAGGGTTTTGTTCTTTTTTTTATCTTTTTAATGCATTTCTGAATGTTAGATATAGTGACTGCTCAAAAAAATGTACAGCAATATTACACACTTAATACATGCTTCAGCCTCAAAAGCAAGAAGCAACTTATATTCATTTATAAGTGATGTGTGTATTTTCTCTTTTTCCTTTAATGTATCTGTATTCAGGTGCCTTGTAAAAGTTTGTCTTGAAGCTATTAAAATATTACTTACAATTAGCTAGAACGCAAGCATTTCCTCAACAAAAGCTTTGTTTTAACTTTGGTTAAAGATCACAGAAGAAATCCTGCTCTTATAATAAAATCTTCAGGCACTCATTGGAGCAGAAGGAATATAATTTTATACCATAGTATCATTAACATTAGGCATCCTGTCCCAGATATACAGACACATTTTTGGGTTTAGTTTTTAATTACAGATTTAACATTTTGTCACTGGAACTCTCAAACAGTTTTTGAGAAAATAAGTTTTAAAGTTATCTTCGTGCCAACCAGTAGGCGTAGTACACTGCAAGAAATTTAGCATATGTATTACAACAGGAAAATTGAATGAAATGGAAAGCTATCTTTTTTTTTGCAACTTGAATAAAAGTTTCATTGAATAAGGTAGTCAAATGAGCTAGTGTCAGAATAATCATTTTATGTGTTTGTAGACCTGAATTCTACCATAGGCTACCATCGTGTTTTTCCCCCAAACTATACAGGCTGTA